AGATTATAGAATGTATAGATTGTCAATAAATGAACCAGAACATATGAACTTTTTGCCAAAACGAATAACAACTTTATTATCGAAAGTAGCAAAATAACCGTTCATAAACAACTTAGAAACTGAAATTAAATTCTTTCTAAAACTAGGAACATAAAGACAATCTTTCAAAACTAGAAACCTATCTAAGCCAAAATCTAAATAGACGTCTCCCACTACAACTGCTGACGCTCTACTAGCATTGCCCAAGTAGATGGTAACTTCTCCTTCCCTAAGTCGCTTGGTTTCCTGGAACCCCTGCATTGAATTGCAGACATGATCAGTGGCTTATATATCTACACACTAGGTTCTGGCAGATAACACCGCTAAACATGTTTCAACAACTAAAGAAAAAGATATACCTTTGTCGAACTTCTTGAGGAGAGGGCAGTCTGCCTTCTAGTGTCTTTTCTGCTGGCATTTTCTTGCCTTTCGGCTTCTTCGCCTTCTGTCGAGGTTGCGCGTCATTCATGACCGCCTTGCCCTTTCATGCGTACTTTCGTCTTGTTGCCCTTAGGAGCCTTTGAAGTGGAAGCTTCTCCCCCCTGGGCCACCATAGCTTGGGTCTTCTGATGAAACAGGCCCTATGCCGACTGAAGTTCAGAGACAAGTTCCGGAAGAGTCATCAACATCTTGTAATTCAACTGGAATTGCTCGAAGCTCTTCTGCAAAGACTGGAGCGCTATATCGACCTGAGTTTCCCCGTCAATAAAAGCCCCAAGAACCTCCAGCTCATTCAGCTGGGCCATCATAGTAAGAACATATTCCCTTACGGGAGTGCCCTCACGCATGGTCATGTTCATCAGAACCCTCATGGCCTCTTGTCGGGCAGCCCGCGACTAATGAGATTGAGAAGCATCTCTGCTGCAATGTTCAGAGACTGATGTTGATGTTGAAGTACATTTGACAAAGATGCCAAGATGTAACACTTCGCCATCTCGTCCGCCTTTTTCCACCGAGCATACTCCTCTTTCTCTTGGTCTGGTGCATTGTCAGCAGGCACAGTCGGACAAGACTCAACAGTAACGAATTTGTACCCCTCAACAGTTAACACAATATCCAAGTTCCTTTTCCAGTCAATATAATTGGGACCAACAAGTTTGTTTTTTTGAGAATTACGGACAACGGATTGAAAGACATTTTGAATTCCTGGGATCATGCAAACATAGTCTTTACTCAGTCAAGTCGTTTTGAATTTAAACATCAAATATTGATCCCATGTAACAATAATCAAATAAATTCACCAATACCTCAATACACCGAATCCCCGCAGGCCACTGAGTGTGGACGTCTACGGTTCAAATCATTCGCAAGAGGAGGGATAAATCCCAATAGCTTAACATACTGCCAAGCAATACTTAACTAATAGTCGTTTCATCTGTTGGCCAGTGCAATTAACTTATAAAAGAATAAAAACGACCTTATCCTTTGGGACTATCGTAATTATTTGCACTTTAAGTGTAACCCATTAATTGGTACTAAGTTTACTACCAAAATTGTACGTCCACCTCTGGGTGACCCGTACGCTTTTGAAATAGCTCACTATAACTATCCCGAAGGAGATTTGTCCTTGTGAACTGTGAAATAAAACGTCCTTTGGGCTCGAATTAAATCACTTCACTAACAAACCTATAATGGAGGCCTTGGATGTAATTTATTTCAACCCATTACACACTTAATATAATTTTTATTTTACGGGATTTTCTAAAACATGTTTGATTTGCACATAAGCAATCACATAAAACATGCATGATTAACCCGCAATAATAAACCAGGAATTATAATCCAACTATCATGGCCATTAATCAATCTCCAATGTTACAGAGAAAACACAATCATGTCCTTGTTGAGTGTGTCCTCCGATTCAGGTATTGGAACTCCCCTTTCGCAGTGACTCCCACAGAATTGGTCATCTCCGGGAAAGTCGCCTTTGGATCATCAACATGGCATCCGTGTACGTGCTTATCGCCTCGCCCCGTCAAGGTTAGTCCACGCCCGTCGGATCAATAATGAATAATATAAACAACAATTACATAATTCATCCTATGACCCACGTAGGAGCCGTGCATGAGTTTCTATGAAAGCAATAAACTATGCGATGTCCCACCACGCGAATAATTTATTACAAGCATTCACCAACCCAAAAATTCCTCGACATGTCCGAGATTTTAAAAACGGCATACATTCAACATGAATTAAAACCCATACATACGGGCCACAATAGTCGGATTCGAAATCACTTGCAAATACTTATTGCAATTTATAATCTACTATGTCGCTGCGTCCGTACGCACATAATTCATGTAGACAGGCAAAGTCCAAATTCAAACTGTGCGGGAGGTTGAATTAAACCTGGGCTCTGATACCAGTTGTTGGGTTCCATGAGGAACGTCAAACAACATGCACAGTATTGAACTTATCCAAATAAGTCCTAACACAGCGGAATCTATAGTTAGGATATGGACGTTTACCTTTTAAAATTTTGCCGACTCTGAGACGATTTAGAGTACTGTTGGTGTAGTTCGTCTGAATACCACTATCTAATGGGTAGATAGATTAGGCCTTTAGTCGATTATAATCGACACGTCAAAGGAAGCTCGAACGCACGGTGGCTTAGGTCTCGGAGTTGGTGCATCGGACGGCGTACGGGCGCTGGCAACCTGCATGTGCGCATTGCAAATGTGCGCTGGCGGGACTCCTAGGCCTACGCGGATTAGCACTGGGCGTCTGGGAACACGCGGCGTGCAGAGCAAGGCAGCAGGGGCACGCTGGGTTGTCGTGCGCGTACGTTGCAGCAATCCTATGCCGCTAAGGACTGGGCGAGCGTGTCTCGAACCATGCGGGCATGCTCTACGAGTTGACTGGGCGCGCGAGGAATGGCGCGTGCGTAGCAAACGAATGCAAGGAACTCACGCGATGGACGACTGATAGTAGGCGCGGGCGGCGAGCAAGTAGACAGCGCAGGAAGCTCGCGGGCGCCGTTGGGGGTCGTCGCTGGGAGTTGGGACTAGGTCTGGCTGGGCGTGGCTGCGAGCGGTAGCTAGCGGCAGTTATCGGCTGGGCTCGGGTGGCTTCCGGCGGCGATGGGAGGCGGCAGCGATTTCCGGCGGCAGCTCACGGCGGCAGACGGTGGCGATGAGCTGAAGAAGATGACCGGAAAATATGATATAAAAGGCTCGAATATATTGTACCCTAAAGCCTTCTAATGGATTACCTAAACACCTACTTCGAATAAACTTGGTGTAGAGTCTAATCAAATCTCCCTAACTCTCGAATGATGTTATTTCTCATTCTTATGTAGAGAGAAAAATCGGCCAAGACATCATCCTTCAAGAGGTTGGAACACGGTGCTAAATATGGGTTTATCACATTAGGCCTAGGAATCCTAATTCTACTCCAATACTAATTCAATACAGGAAGGAGATCTCCGGCTAATCTAACTCTTCTAGAAGACTCCTTAGTCCTCTAACACTAGAGAAGATTATAGTAGGAATACTCTTCTCCTAATTAAATTAGTAATTATGGAATAAAATTAGTTTCCAATTAGGAATCCTAATTCTACTCCAATTAATAATCCAATGTAGGAAATATATCTCCTACTAATCTTCATCTACTAGAAGACTCCTAAGTCTCCTAATCCCTAGAGAAGATTCTAGTAGGAATATTATCTTCCTAATTAAATTAATTAATATGGAATAAAATTAATTCTTATTTAAATGAAATTAAATAATAAAACATCCCACTAGAGTAATATTATTGCTCTCCCCAATTAGCCACTATTTTATCAATAAAATCGAGCTTCCATGATTAAATAATATTAATTCGGTTGATCGATTTACCTTCCTATGTTTAAGATATAACATCTGTTGATTAATTAAATTACTGACAAAATAATTAATCAACTTCTAATTCATTTCCGAAATTAGTACCACTCAAATCCTTAACCATTATGTCTGACAAGTCTACCTGCAGGGTTTAACATAATGTACATTTCTGAGCTCATTTCGGGGACGTCATCAATCCAGCGCACTGGAACATAGTGACCATAAATAATTTATAATAGCATATCATATAATTATTATTACTTACCAAAATACCTCGTATGTCATCCTAACAAAATATGAATCGGTTGGTAAATCAAATAAATAAGAGATAAATATATATATGCCTATTTTATATTATGTTACAGCTTAATAGAACGCATCAATCACTGAAGGTCTAGGTTACAACAACGATCAGTGAGTCTCATAACCTTATCCTTTCGTGGTCCTGTTCAACACTTAACATAAGTTCTAGTGTGATTTTTCAATCAAAGACCAACTGAATCAATAATACACTACAGGGGTCTCACTGTTTGTCTAGACTTTGAACGTATAGTTTAGTCTTATAAGGAACTGATAGGTGATCTTTCTGTTCGAAACACTTCGAACCACACTATCTCAATATAAGACATGGAGTATGATTTGCATAAATAAATAAACTGCAAACATATGTACTTTGACTGAAACATGATGACCAGATCAAAATGGAATCGATAGAATCAGGAAAGCATAGCTTTTACAGCATATCTCTAACACGAGTATCACAAGACAAGGGCTTAGATGACAAGTCAAGGATCTAATTTACTCGATAACACCTCTGCTATATGCAACAAAAGAAGAGGGCTCGATAACACAATGAGAGAGTTCCAACATCCACGTCAATTTCTCACAGAGTAACACACAACAAGAATGAATAATATACATACCCCAAACACCGAATTTCAAATCAACGAACACGAAATTAAATCCAACGAATTCAACACAAGCACCAAAAATTGAAGGAAGTTCGTTCAGTATACCTTCCTTCGGGAAATCCACTCACTCGAGATCTGAAAAAGGTCGAATAAGAAGCCTCACACGTGATTCAGCTACAGGTTGCCCCTGAACGGTGTTGCTTCTCAATTCGGCGCACAGCTGTTCCGCTCACGACCTTCGGCCCTCGGTCTGCTCACGTGTAGGGCTGGTACGTGGAAGCCTAAACTCCCTGGCCTGCTCAAAGGCCATCACGTGGCGATGACGAGGCCGCTGCTGCTCGTTGAACGGAAGAGGTGGTGCACAACCGCTTGGCCTTTTGCTGCCTCTATCCGATCGTCGATGGCGAGATGATGTTAATCGTGGGATCTCGGGGTGCTGCTTTGCGCTCCTCGCGTGGGTTGTGGTGGTCGCGTGAGTCCGTTGATTATCCACCAGCGAGAGAGGGCTGGCTGGGGCGAATGGAAGGGCTGAGATGATGGTGATTATGGACGATGAATGATAGATACGGGGAGCGAGTTTTGCGATCAATGTATATTGTGGCGTGAAAAAGTGTGAGGGGTTGAGGGTTGCAGCCTAGAAATAATGAAGAGAAAAATAACTCTTCCTTGCTAGGTAAGGTTTTTTTTATAATGAGAAAGATAAAATAAATAATTTCCCTTCCAATAACTTAATGGCGTGAAAGGAATGGGCTGGAAATCCCAAAATTCAAACTCAATATGCATGGAATTATTTGATTTTAATCAATAAATTGGGAACCTAAATACACATATATGATTTAGGACAGTCATGCTAAGGAGCCAACAACCAATAGGACAGCTCCATGTGGGGCTGTCCCACATTGGAGCTATGTGGGACAGACCCACATGGAGCTGTCCCATTGGTTATTGGCTCCATAACGGAGCCAACAGTTGGCTCCTTAGCATTATCGTGATTTAGGACTGCTCAAAATGATCATGAGTGGCCAAAACTTAGATTAGTTGGGGCTTAAAAAAAATAAATAAAATAAACTCAATAATCGGTCTCATAGATATTCTAAGAAGTCGAGAAAAATGAATTCGATGATACTGAAATTGGACTTAAAATTATTCGCTTTCGCTAAACCAAAAATTTTAATAATTCAGTTTTTTTTTAATGTAAATAGATAAAAATGTCCAAATAAATTATCGTACTCAAAATGATTAAATAGACACTATCGTCTATATAATCTTAAAACTTGTCGAGCTCGAAAAATAAAATGCAAATAAATGCATAATATTATACATAATCGAGATGTCTGCTAAAATAAAATTGGGGCACTATACAAAAGGCTCGGTTTAAATGGCTCGGAAAAATAACGAGAACGGCTCGATAAAAGCTTTACACGATTTAACCGAATAACCGAACAATTATCGATAATAACGAGCACATATAATAATAGATAATTATTTAATGCATAGGAACGATACAATAAAAATGCCGATAAATAAATAATCTGAAAATAAATCCATAATTCAAACAATTAAATTCGGTTTATGCGATCAAACTGAAATCGACGAACGACGAACGTTTAGAAAAATAAAATGAACAAGCACTTAAATATATTATTTAAGTACCAATAATGACGACATTAATAAGGAATATAGTAAAGCTTATATCAAATATATAAAGTAGATAAATAGAATAATATGAGAAACTCTATAAATCGAACGGGGCGCTACAAATAGGATATTTAGTTGGAAGAATAAATGGTTGACATCTGCAGGTAAGGATGTATTAATTAGAGTAGTACTCAATGCACTGCTAGTATTTTCCATGTCTTGTTTTGTGATTCATGCAGGGCTATGTAGAGAATTTCTAGAGTCTGTGGTCAGTTTTGGTAGAGTAATGGAACTGAATTTCAGAGAGGACTGCATTGGGTGGACTGGAACAAACTATCAATGGCTAAGAAGCATGGAGGATTGGGATTTCAGGATATCTAGCTATTAATACAACCATGATTTCCAAACAGCTGCGGAAAATTGTCACTGAGAGATAGAGGTTGGTTAGTAAAGTGTTAAAATCTAAATATTTTCCTAATACCAATCTTTTTGAAGCACAGAGGAAGGAAAACTCTTCTTGGTTCTGGAATAGCTGGCTATTTGTCTTGAAGATATGTGGCAACTCGATGAGAGTTGAAGTGAACAATGGCCAAAGAATCTAGGTGTGGGATCAACACTGGATCCAAAAATTCATAGGTAAACTAGTGGAGCTGGGGCCAATAACGGATAAGATGATTGTATAGGTTAGAGATTTAATGACAAGGGATGGCTGCAGGTGGGATGAGTACAAAGTTAGAGCAAGTTTTGCTCCTAAATTCTGAAATTCCATACTCAGTATAGATACAATTGATCCAACTAAGGAAGATACTTGGGCCTGGACTCTGAATAAAAAGGGCATGGTTTCAGTACAATCTACTTATGCTCAGCTTATTACTGAAAAATTCCTTAAGCAGGACAGAGTTAAAGGTAGCATGAGCTTAAATACAGATATCAGAGTTAGATCAAGGAGTTGGAAGTTGAGGGTTCTTGTTAAAGTTATACACTTTATATGGAGGTGTTGCAATGGTACTCTGCCTGTGAATATGAATTTAAGAACCAAGGGAGTTGAAGTGGATCCTATGTGCAAATATTGTGGAGTGAAGGAGGAGTCTATAGAACATATTTTCTTTCACTGTTCATTTGCTCAATTTATTTGAAAATTGGCTCCACTTAGTTGGGAAAGACCACAGGGAACAAAGACATTTAAAGATTGGTGGTCGCAAGTTTGTCAGGATAAG